AACATGACGCTTCAGATTAAAAAGGAGGACCACCGACTTTCATTTTTGATCATTTATATAAATACAAAGATTAAAAAACCATAGATTCTTTTCAACATATCTGCTTCAAGCATAGTGTTTTCTCTTCAAAACTAAATATATATTTATATATCGCCTCCCCGCAAAAACACAGCAATGAATAAAAAGGCCAGTAACGAAGTTTAGGGGCTTATCCTGCAAGCTCTTAGGCAAGAATTCCCACATAAAGGGCTGCAGGGTCTGGCCCTTGCAACTAACTTCAGACGACATTATTAATAAAGGGCAAATCCTGATGTTCTTACTCAGGGCTAGCTTGCAATATCCTTAATCATGGCAAGTGGGATCTTGCCCACCTGAGTGGGCATTACAATCTAGCCCTTGGTTTTTAATAAAAGAAACCCTTAGATGGAACCCTTAGTGATGTCAGCAGAGGCATGAGTGAATGAACATGGAGTAGGGGCTTCAGGATTTAGCTCATAGGAATAGAAAGTGCTCCATTTAGCTCCTCTGTCTTTGCTCCCCCTCCTCAGTTGCACTGGTGCAAATCAGACGTAATGCCATCCACATCAATGGAGTGACAATGGTCTAAGCAAGGTCAAGATCAGGTCCAATATTGCATGCATTTTGTATCTTTGTTGTTTTTTATCTAATGGAATTTGTGCCCTCCCCCTGCCACCTCCATGTAATCTCTGATCAGGATTTTGCAAGGTTGCAGTGATGCCTGCTGGTGAGGCGTATGGCCACTTGGCTTCAGAGTATGAGCAGCTTGCATGCAGAGCTAAAGGGAAGGTGTGGGCAGGAGGCAGAGCAGGGGAAGAATGGTTGAAGAGAGCTGGAAATTAAATCAACTCCTTGCACGAGCCCACAATTATCAGTAAAGCAGGAAGGCTCCTACAGCTCAGATGGAGTTGTTCCATTTACATACCAGCCACTGAGAAATAGATGATTGGTAGGAAATTATTTACAAAAGAGAACTATTGTATCCTCTCTCTTTTTTATACTGAAGTCTGCTACAGTCTCTGCATCAATGATTTTATAATAAACATTTAACTGAGTCTGCCCGGTAGGATTGTCCAGAAATGAAAAGAGAAGCCATGCAAATCACCATTAAAATAAAACCCAACTAAAACAGTGCACAGTGAATTTATTAGCTCCTCTGGTATTAACCTTCCCCTCTCCCCCGCACACACACACAAAGAAAGAAATGTTCTCAGCAGAACCTCTGTGAACCTGAGAGAAATAACCATTTACAAAGGCGAGGTTCAAATCTTAATCAAGTCGAAGGGATACTGCATTTCCACAGCTATAATTTGCACAGTGCAATGCAAATTGCTTATTGCTTTCACCGCTCTCCCGCAGATTGTGTCATCAGAGCAGGATAGTGAACAATCTGTGCTCACTATACGGTAGAAATCTTATTACACTACTTTGCCAGCAGAGGGCCTTCTCCTTTTAATAATCCTTAATAGAAACAGACAACAGAGTATCCCATCATAGCGTTATAAGAAAACTGGACCCATAAAGTAGGTGTCCCTCAGAGCGTGCATATTTTTCTCTTGTTAATAACTCAGATGTCTAGTATAAATGTGCCTGATTTTTCCACAGACCTCTTTGCAGGGGCTTCTGAGGCAATTTTAGCCACAAGTTGATAAGAAACTTAACAAACAAGAGAATTGTGTCCAGCAAAATGAGCATTATAGTCGCTCCCGTCTCACAAGCAAGCGTGTACTCATGAAACACCATTGTTGGGGCCAGATCCTCAGCGGGTGTAAAGCGACTGACTTCACTGAAGCTGCATCAGTTTATCCCAGCTGGGGATGAGGCCCGGAATTCCTGTGTGGTTTTTTTGTTTTCTTTCAATACAAACTAATTAATTTGGTACAATTTCAGTGGAGTAACTGAGCTGGACTCTCCTCTCAGTAATGTGGGGATCACTTAGAGCGGGATCCACGGAAGTACTTAGGTGCCTACGTCCTGGGGTTGGCTCCACTGCAATCCACAAAACTCCCACTGAATCTTGTAGGCACCTGAACTTACTCGACGCCTAAGTTGTTTCAGGGCAGGGTAAAAGTCCTCGACTCCCTAGGTGCCTAGGTTTCTGCTTCTGGGCACGTGCACTGCTACCTCCCTCTAGGCAGCCGGGTGCCTGTCTTCCACCTAAGCTCCAGAGCAATCTGGAACCAGGGGAAGATAGGCGTTTCCCCGCCGAAGTCGCCTGCAGGGCCTGAGCCGGGAGACTAACCACTGGGCTTCAGGGTCATTCCCTCTCTCTGGCCCACTGACTCTTTTAGTATTTATCTACTGCGGAACAGTCATTGGGTCAGACAGAGGGCGAATGACTCTATATCCCAGTGGTTACAGCACCCACCTGGGAAGCAGAAAACCCCGAGTCCAGTCCCCCTACTCCAACTCCTCTTTGATTATGGATCCACAGCGGAACAGCTTCCACAGAAGGGAGCCTGACATCAGAAATCCTCTGAGAAGTGGGATCCTGCCCCCAGCAGAGGTGGGAATTGAACTTGGGCCTCCCACATCTCAAGTGAGTGCTCTAACCACTGGGCTAAAAATAACAATGTGGGTGGCACCCACTTCTGTGAGAGATGGGATGGGGTTTAGGACACACCCATCCTCAGCACCTCCCACTGGCTAGCTTAGGCAGTGCCCTGCCTAGCAGGCTGGCTTTTGTGGATCTCATCCTTAGGCGCCTCTCTCTCCCCATTCATTGTGTAGGGAGCCTAGGTGACAAAGTCGAGCAGGGTGTTTTTCCTGGATTTTGTAGGTGCTTAAAAGTTAGGTGCTGCAATGCCCAAGTTCCTCTGTGGATCCCACCCTTCCCTCCTCCATTTCAGGGTGAGCGTTAGCATGCCCATTGAATCATATAGTTACAGATCTCCTTTCACTAGCTGCTCGGCTAGTGCAATAAATAGGCCGAGATAATCGCCCTGGATTATTTCCTCCTTCCTCACACCCCTAGTTAAGCCTCATTTTATTCCTTTGCCAGGTGTAAACTCGCAGCATGGGCTGTCACTAATTCAACCGCGCACTGACACCTCCAGGGACTAAGCAGTAGCAGCGCAGTGATTAGAAAATATAGGGGAAGACGACCTTGAAGAGGAGGCAAGATCCAAACAGGATGCCCTGTTCATGCCAGCAAGTTCGGCTGTCAGGAGAAATAAATGGCCCTAGCAGCTTTGCTGGCAGAAGAAACAGCTATGCCCGGTGTAGTGATTACAGCGAACACTTGCTGCACAAAGACAGCTTTGAACAGCACTGGAGTGGAATCTAAAATGACAGTCTATTACTTCAGTGTAGTGAGTCAATAGAAGGAGTCTAATGAGCTGTTTCTCAAAAACAGACGGCAGCTAGCAATCTAGTAAAGGGCCCTGAAATGACTGGCTAACTGTACTACGCCTGCCCATTTGCAGCGAATGCAGTCAGAGGTGTGACTGCAGCGTGTGCTGGCAGAGCCACGCTACCTTTTGTCTAGCTAGCCTGGCTACAAAGAGCAGTGAAGACGTAGCGGTATGGGCTCCAGCACAGGCTATCAATGCAAGTACACACCCAGCCTCACTGGCGTGCTTGTACAGTCTGCAATGAAGCCCGTGACACGGCATCTACACTGTTATTTTTAGCTGCACTAGCTAGATGAAAGCTAGCGTTGCTATTCCAGCGCATGCTGCAGTCACATCTCTGATTGCAGTGTAGACGTCCCCTAAGAGGTGCAGCTCTGTCTCTTTTTCCTACATCCTTCCGTTCCTTGCTTTGGAAGTGGTCAGACACTTAGGGACAGATTTTCAAAGTGCAGATAGGGACCTTGTGCGATACTCAAAAGCAGGCATTTGTCATGGAAATCAAGGGGATTTAGGCGCTTCACAGGCTTAGGCACTTTTGAAAATCACACTTGGGACCTATTTACATCTTCGGGCGCTAAATACCTTCGTAAATCTGGCCCTTAGGGGTTAATTGATAAACCAGTCCTGTGCTATAGAGAGGTCTTCACAGATGACGCCATGGCATTTCATACCAAATTCAAAACTGCATTTAAAGAACACAGGTCAAGAACACATATCCCATAAAGGGCATACCTCATGCTGGGCACCCCAAAAATGGAGGGGCCCAAAATCAATGGTCATGTTTCAAAATCTTGTCCATTCAGTTTTGCATAATTATTAAAAAGGAGGAATTTGGGTGATAATATGAATTTCAACATTGCTGAGTGACTATTTCAGACTCGATTGGCTTGGCCATGCTGTTTCTGCAGATGATTTAAAAATCCCTCTTAGACAAACTTGACCGATTGTCATTCAACTGCGGACATTCTCCAGAACCTGGAATACCTTATATTAGACATTTTGAGCCAAATTCATCCCTGTCCCAACTCCAGTGATGTCATGAAGTTAGAACCAAGGAGGAGTTTGGCGCATCCTGCCAATTGCCACGTTCACCATCAGTGAACGGCTTTATGTGCAATTCTGCCATTCCCCACCCCCACCCCTGCCACCCTCCACCGCTACCTAGTGCCAATGAAAATAAGAACAATTTATCTAGAAGGAACAATGACAACAATAACGGTAAGAGATTTTAGTCTCAGAAATCTTAATTTTTATGAAAGGGAAGCTCTAGACAATTGTTAATAACCGTTCCCTCCACGCTCAAACCTTCTCTCCACGTTCCACATCTGTGCCCATCTTCTCTTGGAGTCAACTCCAGAACAACATTCAAAATGCCCTCAGCACTGCTTGCCCTCCCGCTCCCCTGCCCCACCATCCCTTGGGATAAGACAGCCATTCTATGGTCATCCTGAATGGAGATGTTAGACCAGCCAGATTGTTTCTAGCTCCTTGAGGGAATCCAAACTGAACAGTATTTTACTTCTTGATGGGATGGTGGGGAAGAAATCTTTGTAGGCCCTAGTCTCTTTTTTGGTATAGCCAAACTCATTTTCTGCATTTAGCAGCCACACTGTTCTGCTTTCTTTGTTTTTACTCCAAGCCTTTTGAATTCCTGGGGCTGGATCCATGCTGTTTGCCTTTCTCACCCTTCCAGGGCTTGGGTTTGGCTGAAGGCCTGGTGCTCATACCTTCTGCTTGCTCCTGGGAATGAAGACAGGAGGGCCTCGGCAGGCTGGAGCCCCCAGCTGCACTGTCACTCGGATCAGCCCCTGCTCTGTTAAGGGCCTGGGCTTTGGGCTCAAATTTCTGACGATGGGGAGCGTGGTGCCTTTTAGTGTATAAAAAAAGTGCTGGGTCGGGCATGGGGTCTGCCTCTTCGAAGCTGCTCATCCTCTCCCTCTGGAAGGAGTCCTTGATGACTCCCTTACTATAGGAGCAGTCGGTCACCAGCCTCCGAACGTGAGACTTGTGGATTCGTTTTTTGGGCCTCGTCTCACTGGAAGGCTGCGTGGGGAATGGTTTGTCCGGAGGCCTGTCGGGGGGGGGCTTGCCACCTTGCCGGGAGCCGTGCAGTTTCTGTTTGGTGGCATGCAGCTGGAAGGAGAGATAAGCAGCAGCCTCCGTCTGCTTCTGCAGCTCCGTGTTAAGGATAGTCACCCGGTGGCTTCTTCTCTTCAGCTCCTCAAGGAATTTCCTCTCCTTGTTCCTGAGATTGCATCTCAGCGCGGACACCAGGGTCTCCTTATGTCTGAGCTCCTTCCTCAGCTCCAGATTATCCTTCTCCTTCTCATGCAACTGGGCTTCCATGATCTTGCACTTCTCCTCCAGTTCCCGATCAATGTCATCTAAGGAGAACAGGACAATAATCAGTGTTCAAAATGACATCATTAGTTTGCAGTGAAATGAATTAGAAGGGTGGGGAAGGATTGGACAGGATAGCTCCAGGGATATATGGAGGCTTTCAACAATTCCTGTAGGTTGCATCCAAATTGAGGGACATCAACAAAAATTATCCAGGAAATTGAAATGCTGTGAGTCCCATTCCCCTAGTGCAAATGACTCTTTTAAAACCTCAGTTTCATGATTCTTTATTCCATATGTAAATAATTTTCAGCAATAAAAGTAAGGGGATGCTAAACTTGTGTGGACCATAGATAACTCTGGCACTAAAGTAATAACATGTCCCTTGAAACAAGGACTATGTCCCTCACCCCTAATTTAAATGTAATCTTGACCCAAACACAGTATCCGTTTTCCACTTCTACTGTTCTCACTTAAATGTATCACATACACAGCTGAAGCCAGAACCTTCAGTCTGATGATGGTATCTTATGAAGCAAGTCTGCCTGATATGCTGGATACAGTGATATTTTATGAACGGGAGACATTATTCTTTGGCTGTCAAATTTAATCCTGCGCTTGTGTGTTCTCAGCGCTGACCCCGGAGCTGAGCCCTGCAATGGAGTTTATGGGTCAGGAGAAGAAGAGAGAAAAAAATACTGCAAAACAATCAGCTAAACTTATTAGAAGGTGTCATTGACCTCTTTCCAGACACTAGACAACCTGATTGGAGAGAACGGAGGATGTTAATCCAGTATTACAGAGCAGCTAGGAGCATGATTGACTGAGACCCTAAGGAGGAAAAAAAATACATATAAAACCCCTCGGCTGTACAGAAATAATGTGCATTTTTTTGCTTTGCTGAAGGGCCTTGTCCTTTGTACCCAGAGAGAGCTGGAGAAGCAGCTCTCCATGTCACTATAAACCTTCATGCTTCAAGGCACCAGCCCACTACGAGCTGCTGTTAGGAAGGCTCTTCCTCTCTGGGCAGGTTATTCCATAATTGTCCATTTACTGAGATTCCTGCACCTTCCTTTGAAGCATCTGGTTCCGGGCCCTGTCAGAAACGAGGCACCCTGGCTAGCCGGACCATTGGTCAGCTCCACTATGGAAATCCCTATGGTTCTATTAACCTTTCACTGACAGGCTGTTTGGTAGTTGTTATTTCAGGGCTGCTTCTTTTTTGTTGTTGTTGCATTCATGGTTATTTCCCATTATCTATGAAGGAACTGAAGAGTCCCCCTCTATCCTCTTATTAATGGGGCTGGGATTTTCAAGAGAGTCTAAGGGAGCGAGGAACCTAACGCTCAATAGGATGTTGGTGCCTAAATCCCTTAGGTTCCCCTGAAAATCCCAGCCTCGGTGACCACGGCTGCTGTAGACACCCAGGCAGACCCTCCTGGAACAGTCTTAGTTTTGTTCTGTTTTGTTTTAAGCATCACCCTTGCAACGTATCCGGCTGGCTCTCCGGTCTCTTACACTCATTGTAGGCCCGTGAGTCCAGTGAAGTTGATGATGTTGCATAGCTGCGAATGTGGAGCTTTTGACGCCAAAGAAGAGGAAGTCAGATTGTCACCGATCAAGATTCATAACAAGGGCAGGATATTAAAGCAGAGAGGGAAAGAGAGAGCTTTGTAATAAAAACTCCCTAAGAACCAACACGCAGCAGTTGCTAAAAAATGTTAATGGTGTCTGCCAGTTGTCAGGCCGGAGACATGTTCACAATCTCTAGCAGCGGTAATGACATCATGTTCCTTTGTCTCAACTCGCCCTCAGTTACAGTAATGATGGAGGGGCGGGGGAGCAGAGTGATGGAATATAAACACAGATCATGAGCCAGTTTTTGCTCCTGAGGGTTGGAAGGGTGCAATGGAAGGCAGAAATTAACCCACCCGTTGCAAACTCAGAGCCCTGATATCCCAGTACCCGTGTACCCTTCTGAGCAGTGAACATTTGCCGTGGAAGCCGTTAGCAATGCTGAATAATATCGTTGGTAATTCAGTAGCAGCACTAGGATTTTTTTTTTCTTGGCAGCTCTAGTCACAACACGAAGGGCCTGTATCATTTTTCAAAGCGTAAGCAGGAGGGGTGAATCCGCTCCGGGGCTGAGCTGAGTGAACACTGAAGGGAGAATTCTCTGCAGGTTTGTCACTGGCACTTTGCACTTGTGACAAGTTCCAGGGAAACACCAGGCAGAATCCAGGTCTCTCCTTTCTCACTTCCACCCTCAAACAGGACTCCAGCAAAACCCCAGATTACTGTAGAATCCAGACGTTCTCAAAGCAGATGCTGCTCTGAGGTTCACACCCAAAATCTGACTCCTAAACCCATTTCACAGCCACTCTGACTGGCCGCCTTCCAGTGAATTTGCCACACCTGTGTCAGCTCCTTTATTGATTCAAGCCAAATAGATTTACCAGGAGGGCGCGGCTTGTTCTCTAGAGCATGCAGAGAAAAGAAAATGCAGCCTCAAACCTACCATCCTCCTGTATGACAAGGCAATAGCCAGGAATACCATTTCCGAAACCGGAGTGGGGCAAGGGAAAGGCAGGCTTGTGATATAAGGCAGGACCTGCATAAACTTACTTTTACAGCTTACTACATTTGAGGCTCTAGAAGGAATCGGTTCCCATCCCCTGCTTCCCGGTATAAATGATCCAGCTCCATAAATGGGCTATTCGCTGGAAAGGCATTGGACTAGGCTTTCAGAGACCTTGGCTTTGCTGTATGACCTTTGGGCCCAGGCTCATCTTTTCTCCGGCTTGTCTCTTTAGATTGTAAGACGTTTAGGGCAAGGTCTGTCTTTTCCTATGTGTTACCTAGCACCTGGCACAATAAACCTGTTTGCTTGGGGCCACTAAGTGCTACCATAATACAAATAATAACTAGGATCCAGTCCCGAGGGTAAAGAGGGGGTGAGAAATCAGTATGTACAGTGCACTGCTGGCTGGAACAGCCTCCGGGCCTGGCCCTAGGGAGCGGGGAGGGCTGTGCCCCCATGGTAGCTAAGTGGCTAACGCAGCAGTGGAGGCAATAAAATAAATAGGAAAGCACGTGGCAGGGGTAAGAGGAGCAGCAGCAGCCTCCTGGGGAGGGGAATGGCAAGAGAGGTCTAAGAAACTGATGTCCCCACCTAGGGCCCGAGGTGCTTTTCTCACTTCCTCCAAAAACATATCAGGCTGGTTCTGGTGGGCCGGCAGCTCCGTGTGAGAGGCTGGTCAAACACTCGGGGTGGGGGAACGAGTCCATCCAGGGGATGCTAGGCTGGGAGGAAGAGTCTGCCCCGGAGAGGGGAATGGAGAAAGTTTGGGTGAGTCTGGACCCCTACGGAACCGTAGCATTGGAAGAGAAGGTTGTCCAAAAGTCAGAGCAGTGGACTCAGACTATGGAGACCTGGGTCTCTTGCTGGCTGCAATAGCGGCAAGTCACCTAGCCGTGCCATGCCCCAGTTCTTAGCACTCACATGCCTTTAATCCACCTCTGTATCCTTCTGACCCCGGCTTCACCCTGCCTTGGCCGTCTGTTATTCATTTTGCTGGCTTTGCTCCGTTAAATCCCTTTTGCTGCCACCTGGCTTCCCCCCCCCCCGCAGAGCTGGTATTCTGTGACCTAGCCTGAGATCGCTCTGCGAAGGAAGCAGACGCAGCCCTTCACCATATCCCCCAGCATTTCAAGTGGCTAACGCGGAACGCCGTGGGGCACCGCACATCCCTGTCGAGCCATCCCCACTGCAGCTGCTGGCCCCCGAGTCCACATCAGGCTCAGCCCCTGCTTTCCAGACCAGCCTGCCCCGGGGGTAGCATCTGTCCCCATCTCTGAGCTCCCCTCCCTAGCTCTGCCCCTGCCTATGGTATGCACCGTGCAGAACCTGGGTACCACCGAATGGGGGGAATGTTCTACTTCGCCCGGGGCGCAGGGTGTGGGAGGTCAAAGCAGGACGGTCCCACAAAGCCCGGGACTGTTGGGAGGTGTCCCCCACTCTCCTTTGCCCCCACCCTCGCATTAGGCACAGTCAAGTCATTGCACAATATCTTTATTAAGGGTGGTGAGAACAGCCATGGAGCTGCGCACCCACCACACAAACACGCAACAGACTCTCCCTTGTCTGTATTCCGATGAAAGATCAAAGTAAATAGCCACTGTGGCATGCAGAGATTTAATCAACTAGCCCATTCTCCTTCGGAGTCTCTCCCCTAGTGTCCCATCCAGTCAAGGTCTGATCCCTGCTATGGTGCACTCCAGCCACCGGACGGAAGAACCCGCCCTGAAGCGACTGGATCCCTCAGCATGACAAGCATCTGCTGAGCACTGTGTGTTCCGCGTGTAGTCAGCATTTCTCTCTGTGCCTGTTTGCTCACTGCACAGTCACCCCTGGTTAACAATACGTAGGCTGTTTGCCTTCTTTCGGTTCCTGTCAGCAACTGACTGCCGGAGCCTGGAAGTGCTGACAAGACTTTTAAAACAGAGATGCTGGATGTAGCAGCCAGCTTCTCAGCGGCTCCCACCCCAATATTCCCTTCCCACACTTCGTCCCGATGACTGACGGCTTCTCTGCCCGGCCTTCTCTGAGTCATGTCAGAGCTGCCCAAAAAACGGAACCTGGCTTTACAAGCAGAATGGGAAAGTCTGTGAAGCGTGTGGTCTAGCAGACTCAGCAGGCATCAGTGCCAGGCCCACAGTACTCAATAAGATAATCAGCCGTTCTCAAATTTCATTGCACCGTGGCCCCCCTCTGACAACAAAAATGACGACACGACCCCAGGAAGGGGGACCGAAGCCTGAGCCCGCCCAAGCCCTGCTGCCTGGGTGGGGGAGCCAAAGCCCAAGCCCGAGGCGAGGGACCTGTAACCTGAGCCCCGCCACCCAGGGCTGAAGTCCTCGGGCTTTGGCCCCAAGCAGTGGGGCTCTGGCTTCAGCCCCAGGCGGAGGGCCTTGGGCTTTGGCCCCAGCAAGTCTAACGCCAGCCCTGGCAACCCCATTAAAACAGGGTCACGACCCACTTTGG